GTGAAGAAAGAAGACCCTGGATTTGAGAATTATCATTTGAATTTTGAAGCAGCACCATTTTTGGGGAGCTTATTCAAATCCATGTGGCAGGGGATTTTGTGAACAAGAAGCCTAGGATTTGCAACGTGAAATATAATGTATTAGGGAATTGTGTAAGGGGATAGGGTGAGCCTAACGTCAGACAATACTGCATATTTTCAGCTAACTATTGAAAACGTGTTTTCATTGGAAAAATGCAGGGCCAAGGATTTGAGACTTCTTCTTTAAAGTTGAGAAAGCTATAGTATCTTTAGGAAACCGTTGGAATATTACATGTATTACTGATATTGAGGAAATAACTTTGATTCTTGTATAGAAAAAGGAGGTTCCGGGCCTGAACTCTACCGATGCGTTTTTGGCTTTTCTGCCGCCAGGTACATCAGCTGTACGTGAATATCATCTTGGAAGGGGCTATCCCTGGAAGGGATAGTTTAGATTTTTTTTAAGCCTAAGTAAGTAAATTACTGTAAGGCTTTAGTACCTGTAGTGTAGATCGATGAAGTACATAAGGAGAGAATCAAATCGGAAAAGCAAAAAAAAAACAAACTGGCAAAAAACAAAAAAAAATCCGGAAGTCTCTACTACTCGAGTCTATTTGAAAAGTTCGGAAATATTTTTTTGTGTGGTTTAGTTTTTGTTGGTTTTGTTTCTTTTGGTTTTTGCCAGTTTGTTTTTTTGGTTTTTCCGGTTTGGTTTTTCCGTTTAGTTTGTACTACTCTCTAAATTCCAACCCCTGAATCCCGGCCATCCCTCGCAGACGAGGAACCTGCTTAAATATGAGGCTAGATTTCTAGTACACGCATCTTTTGAATAAACAACTTATTGAAACCCATATTCTTCAACAAATTGAGGAGACTTTGAATTCAAACCAAATTTCCCTTGTTCTCGATCACGCTCTAATGTGAAATCTAGTACGACTAAGTGTTCTCCTCCAAAATCATGAATGCCTTAGAAAAACTGTCAAAAACCTTTTATGCATCCTATCCAGTTTAGCAAAGTATTTATTTAAAGAGAAAGATGAGCCCCTATTCTGAGAATTCGCCTCATAAACCAACGCTTCTTTAGAATGGGATTTGTATAAAGAAAATGAGGAGCCCAGGATCCCACAGCCTCATCTAAACATACCTTCGTTGTATAATGGGTTTATATCAGGAAAACCAGGAGCCCAGGATCTTAGAATTTGTCCCATTATGAGAAGCTTCGAGAGAAAATCAGGAGCCTCTGATGTGAGAAATTCCCTAACATTGAAGCTTGTTTCATCATGGATCTATAGACAAAATCCCTAGCATAGGTTTTGAGAATTGCCCATATACATGTAATCGTACTTAGCAAGGGAGGCATACAGAAAAGCAAGATCCCCGAATCTGAGAATTCATCATTGGCCCAGGATCTGAGATTTCCTCTAACAGTTCAAGGCTTTTTGAGTGAATGTCATACATGAAGAAAATCATGATCTGAACCTGTATCTGAGAATTCTCAAATAGATCGAGGCTAATTTAGTAGATTATACGAGAAAATCACGAGCCCAGGATCTGACAAGTCATGTAATCATTCGAAGCTTATCTAGTGAGACATTTAGAAAAATGAGGAGCCCAGGATCTGAAAAATCCTACAATTGCTGGAAGTTTCTCGTTCGAGAATTGAAATAGACAAAATCAGGAGCCCGGGACAGAGAATTCTCTAACAAATGAATGCTCATTCAGTAAGTAGTCTACATAAAGAGCAAATCACGAAAGAACCTAGGACCTAGGGATTCATACAACTATTCAAAACCTATTCGGTAAGTGATTTAAATACTCAGGAATGCAACCAGTATCTTGAAGCCATGTAAGCAAGTCATACAAATCTTAATTAAGAAGCAATATATATGTATGTATACTTAGAATCAGGAGGCCAAGGCCTGAGAATTCTTTCAGTTATGAGAAGCTTCGAGAGCCCAGCTTGGGGTAGTCCTTGTTATGCGGGGCCTCTAATGTGAGAATCCCCCTAAAAATCAAAGCTTGTTTAAGTTTATGGGGAAAATCCTAGCATAGGGTTTGAGAATTGCCCAAACGAATCGAATCTTATTTAGAAAGGGGCGTGGACAGAAGAACAATAGCCCGGAATCTGAGAATTCATCGAATTAAGAAGCCAATTTAGCAAGGCAGTTGTATGGAGAAAATCATTAACCCAGGATCTTAGAATTCCTTCAACAACCCGAAGCTTATTTAGTAAAGGTTGTAAATGAAGAAAATCAAGAACCAGAGTTTGAGAATTCTCTAATAAATCGAAGCTAATTTGAGTTTCAAACACATGAAAACGCCATCGTTTATGTAATAGCAACAACTTATATTTTGGTATCTATTAATGATTACTCCTTTAGAAATAGCCAAAAACGCATCGGTAGAGTTCAGGCCCCGAACCAAAAAGGACACTCATGCTCTTTGCATATAAACATATATATCTATATATTTACATTACATAGAACGAAGTATAATTGTGGGACTTTATAAACATTAGTATCAAATGCAACGAAACACGGGGGGGATACCCTCCCGTCCATACATATATATACATATAATTATGTGTATATATATATATGTATACGTGTGATGAAGTGTAGCATGAAAATGTAGATGCCAATCGGCTTCTAAGACAACATCACGCAGTTCAGGTCCATCCAAGCAACTTGATGAACAAACCCGCAAATTCCTGGAAAAATTGCGCTGACACATTGCGCCACTGTCTTTGAAAGTGATTTCAGTAACTTTCAAGCATTAGTCTAGCCCGTGGAACACATTATCTCCAATAGCTGGCCAGCGCACGCCCAAGGTCATGAGCGTCAACTCCGTGCTTTTGCCAGTGATCCCACCTTTGTACAAGACTCAGGAAATGGCTCAAGGGATCAACAGCACTCTGCATGGAGGGTACTCTATCCACAGGAGCTTCTCGAGCGCCAAGTTCAAGTCAAGCAAGCCGCTGACCTGCGATTTTGCCAACGCCAGGAGAACAAGCAGCCGAGCTCCTGGGTTCGAGGCCAGGCCAATCAAAGCGAAGTAGCCGCAGTAAATGCCGTCGACCTCAGCATACGATGGATGAAAATCCTCGACGTCAGCCAAGCTACGTACACCTCACTTGTCAGCTCCTTGTCAGCCATGTTCATCCATGCCATTCTATGCTTATGATTCACTTCCAGCGCCTCCCCGATGCGTGCCGTCACGGCCAGTAACTTAGCAAGATTTGCAACAGAAGCTCCAATTGGCAAATGACATTTTAGACTGTGCTCAGCACCAGACCCCGATAGCTAGGACGGAGAGCATTAGCAAGGAGCCATGCATGTCCCCCATATGCCATCTTAGGCCCAGTAGGATTGCCTGATAGGCAGGCCGCAGGCAGGCCCTTGGCTGTTTCAGATTCTCTGTGCACACGCCAGCCTGTAAGACCAGCAACAGGGCAAATCTCATTCGGAGCTTCCTTGTCGATGGCAGGCAAGCATCAAGATACGTGCAGATGCATCAACTGCGACTGCTACTGGACAAAACTCCAACCCGTCCAGAGATCTTGGCAAGCGGCATGAAAGTAGCAGGCGCCTACAGCCAGCATCTCCGAGGAAAGACTTGCGTCAGCTGCTGACTTCAGGAGCACCGGGCAAAGTTCCATGCCTCCGCCGGATCCGATGGCTCAGCATCACTCCTCATTGAACCTCACCAAGCAGGGATGCAGTTTGCATGATATCAACTCACATGCTCTGAGCTCTCGAGCGGATGTCTGTGGGCATGACTGGCGAGTCTGGGTGCGCCCCATGCGCCTGCTGGTGCAAAGCAATGCAATGCTATGTGGTACTCGCGTTCCCTAACATACAGAAACACACCCACCTTTGCTGTGCCATGCCCCCTAGCGCCCTCTGAGCCAAAGGGCCACTGTCCCGTACCACGGAGGTGAAGCTGCTCATTGGTTTCAAGCTGGGCAGACTGCCGAGGATTTTGAATCTTAGGATTTTCAACTTCCGTTTTTGGGTGTGGGTCTGCGGGTGGCAATTTTTGCAGCTAGTAAGAGCACAGCATTGATTGCGCCATAATTTTTGGCCTGTCCAAGCTGGCAGGTCTGGCAGAAGCTCCATCATTTCGCTCGCAGGCTTGCCAATTATAGGCAGAGCATGGGCATTGCGGTGTATAGTGTCTGTTTCATCAGAAGGTGCAGAGTTGCCTCACTCTCATGCCACCTGGTACTATTGGATGGAAAAGAGATTGAACTCGCAATCTCCGCTACACAACATCAAACAGCATCTTTTGTAAAGGCTCCATGTCATGGAGCAGCACTACCATGTTGAATCTGTAGCTTCAGCAGAAAACTTTCAAATTGCTGCATGATGCGGCCTTGTCTGAGATGGTCAGGGTGCGATGATACAGGCGCTGGCAACTAGCTATCTGCACCTGGGATCCGGGGCTTCCGTGAGGGCCAGCGGGATGTTGAACACTTTGCCGAAGCAGGGCCACAAGTGAAAAGTGATGGCCTACGTAGTTTTTGAACAGATGCTGTTCAATGAGGATGCTCTCGCATTATTTGCTAAGCGACTGCCAGCTCCTTCGGAGTGCAGAGGCAAACAAGCGCAAAAGGACTCCAGCATACTGCAACACAGGCTCCCTCAAGCACAGGGCCACAAAACTGCGAAACGGCTCGTTCATAAACAAGGCACAACATGTTCAACAGTGCTCAGTGTCTGCATATAAACACTGCACATTGTTCCTTGAGCTTGGGAGAGCTTGGAAGCACCAGAGCCGAGCCAGCAGAGAGCTTCTCTGGCAGCTTGGCACAGATCCATAGTTCTACCTTTTTGTTTGTCCCTTTTCAAGTTGGAACAGGAAAAGTTGTGCACCTTACCGAGAAGCGGTCATCTGATCACTGAGGTGAAACTTTGCCATCAGCAATCCACGAGCTACGTATCCGATGAACGCCTCCTGCACAGCAAGGCGTAGCAAGGCCTCTGACGTAAATCATGTAAGTATACTGTCCCAACGGCTCCTAGCTGCTTTGCTTTCCAGCCGCGGAGCCAATGCTGACCCAACGAGGCCATGCCCTGTCAGATTCAAGTTCCCATGGTTGCCAAGCTCCAGAAGTCTGCTGCAGCTGCCTAGAAGTGGCTCGGGGGCTGTGGGCTGCTGGCTGGTGCGCGGTACAGACCCACTTCGCCCCACCTGACAATTTGAAGTTTCAAACCAAGCCAGCGCTTTGAGTGCGGCGCGCAACTTTTTTTCAACAACGTAAAGTGCCGCAGTGAACATGCAGCACTGCAATTCTCTGCATTCTTTGCTTCCTGCTTCCTCTTCTTCTTCTTCTTCTTCTGACTGGCCTTTTGTTCCTGGGGCTGACCTTCAGTTGCAATTCTTCTGCCGCACTATGACAACGCTGTGCTGACCTTGCTGGTGACCGGAACCTGCTTGAAGAAAAAATTGCGCAAGATATCTAACACCCAAACAAACACAATGTACACATTTGCGGAGATGCATCTCGTCCCAGTAGATAGTATGGTTCGTTCCGTTTTCTTTGTGTTAGGGGTCCGGTTTCATTAAGAGGCAGCCAGCAAGGTCGAATTGAATGCCATTGGACTTGTTCTTCGATGACTGCATAACGTCGAGACATTCCTTCTCTCCTTCTTGATGAGCTCGCACGCAGCTCACTCTTGAGGTCCTCCTCCTGATGTCTGTGAGGCCGCAGATTTACTGGGAGCTGCATGAGTCAATGAAAGCAATGCTCGTCTCCAGATACAAGTAAGGTCTCTGGTGATTCCGCCACAGTTTTCATCCTTGGCAGTAGCAGCAAGGAAGTTCCACTCTCATCTGAAGTCTCAGCTGCAGCTGGGATGTCTCCTGCACAGTCGGAACACATGGTTTTGGGACTGCCCTGAAGGGCATTGCCACCGGCGACCTATCTTTTGTCAGAGTGGCCCTGCACAGCAAAGATGCAGGCACACTTCTTCCATCCACTTAGGCCGCCGTGGCTGCGAGAAATGGAAAGCTTCTCAGGCTTGTCAGACATGTTTCAAGGATGTGCAGCGCCCAGCTGTGCCTTTGGAGCTATGATCGGCCGAGCTGAGATCAGCCTGAAATGCAGTGACGGTTGGGCTAGGGAGCGAAGCAGTCGAAGCAATTGAGAGATCGGCTGCTGCAACTGCTGCTTCAGCCGTACCTTAGCTTTCATATTCTTCCAAATACTGACCCCGGAGTTCTTTCCGGGCCCCAGCTGCCGGCGCCCGATTTCCAAGCGGCGGCACGTTCGAGCGAACCCCACGGCCTTCGAAAATCAAACGCTGGATCGGGTGATTTATCAGGATTCCATCTGTGCTTCTTCCACTTTTCTAATTGCAGGATAACCCCGCCTGGAGCACTCGCAGTGCTGGCTGAAGGGCTTGGCAGCCCATCACCTGACGATTTCTTTCGATGCCACGACCAGCCAGGGTTACTTGCGGATGCAGTCTTCGATACGAGTCCCACAAAAAATGCACCTGTGGAAGTGGCTGTTGCGCAGTACTTTTCTCAGCGTGAATACAGCTATCTTGTTCCGACCTATCCGGGACGCTAGAAAGCGTAGACCCTTGGCCCTAGGCCCTAGTCCCTCATCTCGCACTTCATTCTAGCGGCTGGAATCTAGCCACTAGGCCGTCAAGGTTTCGAGTATGCGCCTGCTGCGGAATAGCCAGCCACAGCTTCTCCTGGCATTTGAGGGGTGAGTCGAGGCCAACCAAAGCTAGCCAGGCTCTATCTAGCACTGGAGTAGGGTAGAAGAGGAGGAGGGAAGGTACACCGTGGCAGAGTCGGGAACCAAAAGTCGGAACAAGGGCAGTCAGAGTCGGGAAGGAGGAGGGTTAAAGTCGGGGAAAAAAGGAGGGTGGAGTCGGGAAAGACCGGAGGCAAGAGTCGGGAAATATGAAGCGAAACATCATGTAAATTTACAAGATGTTTCGGTTCATATTTCCCGGAGCCCCAACCCAAAACCCGAACCCTAAACGGGATTGTAAAGCGTGCTTTGGGCGTATATAGGGATTATATAGGAATATACTGGGGATATATGGTCATGCGCCTGCTGGCGTTGGGGGGACCTTTTCTTCTCCCTGTGGGTGTGGTTGGGGGTGCCCCTCCCCCTCTGTGGCTGTGGTTGGGGTTGGGTGGGATGGAGAGACATGACTTGAGGTCTTCCGCTCTTTCCTGTGGGTGTGGGTGGGTGTGGGTCTCACAAATGGAGGAATTACGTAAGTCATTTGTAAGCATCAATGGTATGGGGATGAGAGAAGATATTTACATGATTAAACAGGATTATCTTTAGATGTGTAGACATACAGATGGATCATCATTCCTATGCAGCCAGTGCAGTGTTTCTGAGGTTTTCCGAGGGTCTTAGAAGGAGACATAAGCTTCATGGTGGAACATCAGAAACGTTCAAATACCAGCATCTACCACAGCCCGAAGGATCGTGCCACAAACTAGCCCATCCCTGTAAGTGTAGGCATGTTTTGAATGTTGTACACAGAGTCGCACTTTTGAGATTGCGAAGCGCTAATAAAAACAACGACAGTCACGGAGATTGCGCGCGTTCATGGCCCCCCCCAGGGGGGGGCGGCCAGGAACGCCAGACGCCTAACCGTATATTGGGATAATGGAAGGAAAATGAAACCACTATTTAGGGTTTTGGGCGGCTTAACAGCATAGGTTTGAATTCTTCACCGGCTTTCCAGTAAAGGTCTTGATAAGTAAGGCTGGTTACTTACAGCGGTTGGGTATCAGGGTTCTAGGTTTAAGGTTTACGTAGGGTCTCGGGTTCAGCATGCATGGTTTGCGAGCAAATGCTCCAAAGCACGTACTGTAAACCATGTGCCATCTGAAGCTTTGCACCTGAACAGCCCGGGCCTCCTCTAACATCCTGCAGTTTTTGAGATGTAGTTCCTGTGCAAAAATCATGTAGATTTATATCTTGTTTTGCATGATCAAGCATACGTTGAACGAAGGAGGCAGGTCCTCCATGAAAGGGGATGTTTCCATGGTTCCTGACTTCAGCGTCTCATGTTTCCTGACTCTGGCCAGGCATGGTTCCTGACTCTCGTCGTTCTATTTCCTGACTCCGCGGCATTGACTCCCTTCATCATGAATGACTTCAACAGCGTCCGGAAGGTAACTGCCAGCAAAAGCACAAACCTCGTTAAGGGGCCTGCAAAACCCTCGGCAGAACCTCGCCAACTCGACTCCAGCGTCCACTTGTCTTTGCACTTCACTTTGCACTCCACTTTCCTTTCCAGACTTCTCCTCCCCACTTTCCCCATTCTCCCTCTTTTTGCTCCACTGTCCAGTCTATCTCTGACTTTACTCTGGACCCCACCTTCACTCCAAAAACCACTGCATTTTCCACTCCAGCGATTTTCTGCATCACTCGCAACTCCACTCTGCAATGTGCTCTCCACTCTTTCCACTCCATTCCATTCTGCAACGGCGCAAGTGGGGTAGTCCCGACATTCTCTGCCAACGTCCAAGAGCCGGAACAGGCACGAGGATGGCGAGTCTCACTGCCCCATCCCGACAACAGGGTCGCATGCGACGAAGACACACCAAGTACGAGCATGACAAACTGAGGGCGCCCTCACCTGCGATAGTGGGCATGTCTCACATGAGGTGAAAACACGGGGCTCCAAAGTGGCGACAGTTGCCAAGATGGCGACCCCGAGGGGTCTCATCTCTGTCACTTTTCACGCGCAACATGGACGTGACTCTCCAAAAGCAGATCAAGGTACCAAGGTGCAGCATCCCTGGGACTGCTGGCACTCAGGAACTTTTCACACGCCACGAAGCAATGTTTCCCCGCCCTCCCATGCCCCGAGCGACGCAGCAACGACGGTCAAAAAGCGAACACGTATACGAGGGTTGCGACGGCGGCTTGGAAACTCTTGCGAACACTTGTGGACGCGTTGCGGACGCTTTGCGGACGCTTTGCTGAAGCTTGCGGACGCGTGCGCAATGAGTTCGCTAGGCCATGGATTCCCGGATCGCAACATTGAAAACAGGACCTCTTCCGCAGAGCACTCAGCAATAGGAAGGTTACATGGAACAACTAAGCATGATGTTACTCATAGCATGACCACACAACCTTGGGAACACTATGAAAGGGGAAGAGAGGCTTGATTCAACCACGAAGCATGAACTTACCCGCGCTCTGGCCAAAAAGGGGTCACAAAGAGAAACAAGATTGGATGTAACGACAAAGCAAAATGGTAGTCGTACAAAGAGCGCGCACGAAACAAACACCAAAAGAGGAGAAGGCGACATGCAACGACCAGGCATGACGTGCTTGGTATCATAACCGTTCAAGGGCATGCGCTATCAAAGACGGAGTAGGGAGCGTCAGTACAACCATCGAGCTTAATGCTATTCATACCATGCTCTGCAGGGGTGGCAAGGTCTCAATAAAACGAGAAATTGCTTGTTTCAAGACCAGACAAAGGTATCGAACGCAACAGAAGCAGGGAAAGGTGCGATGCAACAACCCGGCATGATGATGCTTGCCGGGTAGTGATCACTACAGAGGGGCCAGGGAGGGTCGACGCAACGACCAGCACGGTTTATGTGTATCATGACTTTGCAAGAGTTGTGAACACTAAGGGGAGCAAAACCTTTCAAACCACCAGCATCATGTTATCCGTACTGTGAAATTGCTGGGGTATGGCAAACGATACAACAAGTAGGGGGGTTTGACGCGACTACCCACACCCGTACCATGACCATACAACGGTCGTGAACTGTGAACGCGACAGGCAGAGTACAGCTGGGAAGTTAGATTTGACCACCAGAAACAACGTCCTGGGAGTTCAGGAAGAGAAAATAAAAAGCTGCTCAACAACAGGAGGAGCGCAAACACTTATGGAAATACAAGACGCATCCACAGGTGAAGTGAAGGTAGGAAGGACAGGAGCGGAAAGTAGGAACAGGAGCAGACCCCAATATGTCATATTTCTGAACAGTATGTAGGTAGGACAACGCGAGCACCTATGTCTAAGCCAAGAACTTCTTTTTTGGACGCGGACAGGAGCATGTTCTTTAGATACGGATATATCACAGGGCATACGCTAGCAAATCATTAGACATCAATACTGCTCATGAAATCAATTCCAGTCTTCAAGCTAAGAAAGAAGCAGACCCTACAACAGCAACCATAGCAGCACAAATCAAGCGAGCTAGGCTTGAGTTTAGTCTTGCTTTAGCAGTGGTAGCCTTCAAGGTCTGGAAAACGAGGCAACGCGTGATATAACTAGAATTTCGCATTAGCGATAGAACAACCATAAAACACGCACGCAAGATTATAACAAAGACCGGACGCTGATGACAATTAAAATGCAATGCCAACAAAGGAGATATGCAGACGGATAGAACATCCGACCTCATCACAGGAACAATAGCACTATAATTACACAACACAACACTCTCAGAACTACAGATAATAGAACAAATACAAATAATCCAACATTTCGCAGTTTTGGTAATGTTGTTGGAAAGGCGGATGTCACTAGTTGGTTCGTCCATGACTAGTCCGTTACGCATGCTATTTGAGGGTCAAGTTTCTTACGAACGGGAACAGAAACTTGCAACGCTCCTTTTTGACTCGGTTGGCAGAAAACGGAAATGTCCCTAAGCAGGCCCTACGGACAGACTACGTGTACCTACGGGCAGTGCTGAAGGGACAGAATTCTGATGCCGAGAAATCCGGTGCGGAAATCAGGGCAAGCAGAATTCACACGGAGAGTCAGCGAGCTCTACCAGGACCAAGTCCAAGGGATCGACTGGGAGCAGGCAGACAGGCAGGGCTCGACTGGGACCAAGACCAAGGGATCACCAGAACCTAATGCAGAGTCCAGCCCGGACCAAATCGAAGGGATCACGGGCAGGCCACGGAAGTGCAGAACCCGACCCGGACCAAAGCCAGAGGATCACGGGGAGACAGGCAGAGAAATGCAAGCTCGCGAGAAATCCAAATCCATTTGAGCCAGAGCTCGACCCAGCGGGGAAGAACGCCATCAGAATTTGAGCTCTGATCAGACAGAGGTGGCAACGTAGGGCTCCATGAGAGACGGCAACGGTGAGGTCAGGGACCTCAGGGAAGGAAGTCCAAGGGACGGAAAGCATCTCAGAAGGCTGAAAACCTAGTGTGGCAAGCGAGACTGCTCGGCTGAGAGCGTCCGCAACGTCATTAGCTGGGGCACTGAAATGCGGACAGATTCCTGTAGCAGACAGAATTGACGAAGAAATTGACACATGCCCCTAGCAAGTGTGAGGCCCTTCCACTGCGGATTGTGAAGGGCAGTTGTCCGTACGGAAGACAACGTGAAATGGAGTGTGGCCAGGCGGCAGCAGGCGGGACAAAGTCCAGAGAAGGGCCACCTGAGCCAGCATCTCCCAGGCGGCAATGCAATGCTGGGGAGATGAGCCAGACGGAAACCAAGGAAGAGGTCAGACAGCTGTTCTGCGGACAGGGTCTGCGCGAAACAGGCCTGCCTACCGTCTGGGAGGCGGATAAATCCGCCAAGGCCAGCCGAAGTCGAATCTGCACATGCGTCCGCAACGGCTTCGCAGACAAACAGCGGACGGTAAAACAAGGACCGGAAGGGCTGAGGGGAGCTAGCAATGGCTAGCCACATGAGCAGGACCTCATGGGAGTCGGGTGAAAGCTCCCTCTCCGGGCGGAGGGGGTTGGCAACCTGGACCCAAACTCGGCGAGATGAGACATGCTCTGGGACGTCCTTGAAGGTAGTGACTGGGGTGTGTGCAACGCGAAGCAGCTGGCAGCCCACGGGAAAAGGTCGTCGGACAGAGAGGAACGAAGAGACGCGTAGAGGTCAGCAGAAGTCGCACACATGTTGGGCAAAGGGCGATGTTGGTCTATATACAAAGGAGCAAGGGACGGTCGAAATGTCTGAAACAAGTTGCTGAGCCAGAGCAGCTTACCAGTAAGCTTCTCAAGTGCGGAAACCGTGCACCGGGGAGAGGCAGACAGGAGCTGAAGCAAGTCCATCAGGCGGCGCAACTTGGACGGATCTAGTTCGACAGTGAAGGCATCGAAGTCAAACGACCACCCAATCCACGTTACTCGGGCAGGCAGAGCAGCTTTGCGCCAACTCATTGGGACGCGAAGGACGCAGAGCAACACGACCAGGAGTGCGGACAGGTCATCAACATAAATCTGGGCGGAGTGACGGACACGCCACAGACGGTGTGTAAGGCGCACCAGCAGGCCTGCAACTCTGTTCCAGTAGAACCCGGAGGCACGGGCACCGAAATTCAGCGTGACGGACTGGTACAGGACGTCACGATGACGGAAACAGAGCAAACCCTGATCTTCTGGCTTGATGCGGACGCGGCGGTGTGCCTTGGAGACGTCCAGGACCAAAGCGGCCAGAGACTCGTTAGCCGGGCAGAGTGGAAGGCACTTACGGACATCGGCCAGGGAGGGGTTAGGGGCCTTATTAGGGAGGTGCGTATTGGAAGTGACGCCGCTGACGGAACCGTCCACAACGAGACGGGGCGGACGATCCGGTGACACCACTACGCCCAATTTGCCAACGGCAGTGTGGCGATAGCGGCGTCTCAGCTCTTCATCTCCGCCAGGGACCGGACGGATCCACCCCTCCCGGAGTTCCGTTGCCAGCAAGTCATCGACCAAGTCAGCGTGATCAAGCGCGACTTCCAGGCGGAGTCGCAATGTTGCAACGGGATAACGTGTTCTTCGGGTGACTCGGGCGGAAAGAGCACCTTGCATGGGGGAATAGGCGAGCTTATGCCGAGGGGGACACCCTCATGCAACTGGCGGAAAAAGTCCATGTCCGGATCGCAACAAATGACGGAGAGGCAGCGCCATAGGTTGAGGCGGAAAGGCTGGCCGGCATCTAAGAAGGAAGTTACGCAGG